TATAGTAAGAATCAGATTCAAAGAATCATATAGTAAGAATCAGATTCAAAGAATCAGATTCTGAGAATCAAATTGTAATTTCCATCTATCCATTATCTTTACCCGCTTCTTCTTTTGCCCTTTAAAACCTTGATGGTCTCCTTAAAGAATAAACAAATTTAGTTTGACCTAAAGATTTGACTGTGTTCTTAGAAAAACAGTTGCACTAAAACTAAAAATTTTAAGGATTTAACATCGCCCTTCAATGGTTTTGAATAAAGATTTCGTGTAATCTGTTAGCACTCGGAGTATGTGCTATGTGATGACTCTCAGCTACTACCCTACCAAAATTTAGCTCATTATCGGTACAAAATAAATAAATAAATAAATGACTGCGTTAAAGCTATTTATGGTTTAACTAAGGCTGGATTGCTGTTGGTTTTTTTTTTTTATTCTGTTTGTTTAATACTCGTCTAGATTTTTTTAAATTTAAATTGTGTAAAGAAAGAAAGATCCATTCACAATAAAACACTTTGCATAACGCATAATATTAGTAATATAAGCTGACAATATCATTGTGCTGTCACATTTTATTTCAATTGCAACATTAAGTCATTTCAGCCACTTGTTTTTTTCTGTTGCTAACAGATGACCTAAACTTGTTAGAACACATAAGAGTTTTAGTTTTTTAAATCCAGATTTTGGGTTTATGGAGTTTAGAGCATGCAAAGGGGCGGGCAGTCAACTTGCATCTAAAAACCTTCACAACTGACTGAGAAAACTGGAAAATGTTTGAGTAGTTTGGAATTTAAAAAGGGAACCCAGCATAAATGTATTTTTTTACACAATTAAAACTGTTACCAAAGCTTCTAACCCACAACAAGACTGGCATTGCTCAGTGCCGCTGATGAACGATGCCTAAAGCTAACATTACTGTTTAGGACACTTCTATTTTGTGTCTTTTTTGATAAAATAGACCATCAGAAACCATTTTTAAAACCCAGTTGGTGTCTCACAACCAAAGTGGGGGCTCTACACCCCATTTCGGGAGCCACAGATGTACCGGTCTGTTTAATAACATGTACGCACTGCACATGACTGACCTTGAAACATCATCAGTGTGTTTGGAGAAAGCCCTTCTCCCCTCATAACATCTGACAAGTAAAAAAAACAAAAACATCTATGGACCTACGAGCACAACAGGAAGAGAAGTTCCACGTCTCGCCCACACACATGTAGAGGGTTTCTCCTGCAAGTCACCAAATACAATAAAACCTGCATATAGACGAGTGCGTGCACACACACTAATACACACTAATGCACATGAACACACACGTACGCCCCGCAGAGTAGAGGAGCTTCATTTGCAAGACGAGTTGTAACCACACAGACGCTGCTGACGGCGAGACGAGGGGGGCAGACATCGACGCGTAGGCGGTAGATTTCTGTTCCCACATCCTTCAGCTCGCCCAAATACGAGGTCCTCGTCACCGGATCTGTGTGAACGGCTCTGATGTTTGCCTCAGCAGGCGCTCATGACTATAGGCACCACAAACCATTGACAGAAATATGAAAACAAACATTTTGGAGATGAGGTGAACTAAAAGTCTTTGAAACAGATGTTTGAAATATCTTGTATCTCTTTTAAAATGCTTGAGGTCTCTTCAGGTTTTGCATGAATTGAGGATAAAGTGACTAAAGCAGTGCAAATGTGTTCTCTCATTTCTCTTTCTTGCTTTTGTCTTGCTTTATTAAGACCATGACTGACCTGGTTGCTGGTTGTAGCTTTTAACTTTTCCACGGTTGAATCTTTTATTTCAATTTGAAATTGGATAAACATGTCAGAAACCTCAATGTTTATTTATAAACAGTGCAAATTTTGTTCATTTTGCTCATGCTAATCAGAGCTACACTCCAATGATTTTACAAATACTCTTAATTTATTTTTGCAAATGAGGACTCCTCTGATAATGTTATCCAGCTCAAAACAAAGCACAGTAACTGGATTTATCAGACAAAAATCTGATCATTTCCAGCTCAGTTGATGTTTTCTCATTATTGCTGTGTAGCTGATCCAGACTCTTTATTCAGAGCAACTCTTTGTTTTTGTTTGTTTCTCCCACAGGGCAAGAAGAAAAGGAGAAAAAGGGAGAAGCAGCAGGACTCCAACACAGGTAAACGTTTCTATATTTGCACAGATGAGTGTCGAGAGCGTTTCAAAGAATTCAGCTGAGTTTTAGCTCACCTTGTAGGCAGGATGTGTCTTAACGTCAAACTGCCCTCCCACTCTCCTTTGTGTGCCCATCTCAACTAATCCTACTCTCATATACCAACCAGAGCAGACGACACAGACCAAAGTAAAAAATATAATTTTGTGGCTGCAGTTTTCTTATTATAATTTAGGTTTTTCTCCCTTCTCGGCTATATGATCATTTACAACACTAAACTGGTTGGGTAGAGCAAAGCGGATCTTTCAGAAACAGATGCGTTGCTTCACACACCCTGACCATGCCAGTATTTTCTCACATCACAACACAATCAGGTATTTTACTGGGATTTCTAGCATGGAAATTAATATTACAGTAGTCCCTCGATTATCGCGGGGGTTACGATCCACACACCACTGCGATAGGTGAAAAACCACGAAGTAGGAACACTGTATTTATTCTAGTTATATATATTTTTAAGGCTTTATAAACCCTTCCCACACTCTTGCAATGTTCTAAACTCTTAAACCTAAGTAATTTTAACAACATACGTATATGTGCTGCACAGTACTGCAAAAATTTACTCACCAGCTCTGCAGAGCAGCAGCTTGGTTCTGGTCGGGCTTGGTTCTGGTTCTGCAGACCTACCCTGCAGCAACGAAGCCCACCGCCCCGTCCAGGTTGATGTGCACGTGGATAATTGAGCTTCAGGATTATTTGCAACTTTTCTGCCAGTCCTGAGAGATAATAGATAGATCGTTATTTCTGACTTTGCGTTGCAAAACTTTCCCTCCATTTCGGCAGAAAGCAGTGGCCGGAAGCACTGTTGGCTTCTGGGTAGTGTAGTTTTTTTTCTTTCTTTTTTTTTTCCATTTTCATTTAACCTTTATTTATACAGGTAGTCTCACTGAGCCACGGGAACTCATTTTCAAGGGAGACCTGTTTAGGGAGCAGATGGTGGGGGGTTAAGGGCCTTGCTCAGGGGCCCAGCGTGGGGCGACTGAGGGTGGAGGGAGGTGTGGGAGTTTCAGTGTATGTTTCAGTGTAGTGTGGGTGGTACACTGTAACCTGCATTACAGTTTAGACTTATTGAAAGAAAACTACAAAATGTCAGCGCCTGTCCAAAGTTTTTTTTTTTTTCCCCCCGTTAACTTTTTATCCCGCACCGTCCCAATCACATGAGTAATATTAAAGTTGACAGTCGTGTGTCGTGTACAATCTTGCATTGAAAAACCGCGAAACGGCAAGTTTACCAAAGTTGAATCGCGAAGTAGCGAGGGACTACTGTATTCATAACTGCAACAGAAAAGTCTAGTTTTAGAAGCTTTTTTTTAATTCATTCAACCTTTATTTATACAGGCTAGTCTCAGTGAGCCACGAGGACTCGTTTACAAGAGAGACCTGTTCCAGACTGAACATATAAAGTACAGTGCTGTGCTTTTTGGTCAAATTTTTACAAAAATGGTATAAAACGTTTGTGACAAAACATTAATTATAATACTAGGAGGAAAATATACTGATCAGTCCACAATAGTAATCTGTTAACGTGTAGCCGCTTCATTCATTTCAATTCCCAGCTGCAGTAAGATTTTATCATCTATGCCACATTCGATGCAAGTTACTAACGAAGAAGGAAGTCTGGAAGGGCAGTTTTGCACACATTTCTATTACTACTTCAATATATATTTAAACTATCATTGAAATTCAGTGTTTTATGTTTAGTTTTCCTTCAAAAACTGTGGTAAGTGTTGAAGAGAACAGTTAAAAAGAAACCGTTGCCTTTGGAAAAAACAAAAGTGAACGAAGGTTTCTCTATCACAAGAAATTCAGCAAGTTGCAATTAATGTCCCAACAAAATGTCCTCACCACCCTAACAGGTTGTTAGACTGCAGATACATGTTCTAATATGTCTAAGTTGGATACTTATTTTATTCATTTTCCACGAACATAAACGCAAGAGCTTGCGTAATTCAGCGTTTCACTTTTAAGAACAGAACTCTGGTCTAACGCGTGAAACTGCCAGTAAATGGCAACGACTTAATACAGATTGTTAATTCCGTAATGTAATAACCAAATGATTTTAGATGTAGTATTTTCAAAACACTTCGTGTGTGGCATTATCTTTATTTAAAGTATGTTATGGGTGTGTTTTATGCAGCACCCCTCACTAAAATCCAGAGCAGCTAATTTCCTTCAGAAGCCACCAAATTGGTTAATAGACTGTAATGTATTCTACATAAATATGATGATGATCTCTAAGGTCTGCTACAGAATATTAGTGATCAAACAGCATCATGAAGACCAAGGAGCATGCCAGACAGGTCAATGATAAAGCTCTTGAGAAGTCTAAAGCAGGGTTGGGTTATTATACAACATTCCAAGTCTTGAACATGTCATGGAGTGTCGGTCAATCCATCAACAGTTGGTGGTTGTAACCAGACAAAATGTGGAAAAGTTCTTGTGTGTGTGTTGGGGGAGGGGGGGAGAGAATACTTTCAGAAGACAGCCTAAAATAATTTTCTACCAGAAGGTAACTCATTGATGAACTATATCAGACTAATAAAGTATTTGTTGAACATAAGAACATGATTTTTCATACCTATAGTGCGTTTATGAATTGAAAAGTGATTTATTTTCAGAGTCATTGTTCTGTAAAGAACATTAAGACCTTTTTAAAACATTGTACTAACAGAGTGTCCCAGCATGGCTGCTTTCCTCTCTCTGCGTGATTTTAACTCGGCTGTGTTTGCTGATGCTGTGTTGTGCTCCAACAGTCTACTAACCGTTTTCCTTCACGGCTCTTTCTAAGCAGACGGCTCCGTTGGTGTTTTATTCTGCCCTGATGAGCCTTCTTTCTATCTGTGCCTCCCTCCCCCCAATCTCTTTTATTCCTCTCTGTGTTTTTCTTTTTCCCCTGTTTTGTGCATGCTGTTCGTTGTGCTCAGACCCGGGCTCCCCTAAGAAATGCCGGGCTCGCTTCGGCCTCAACCAACAAACGGACTGGTGCGGTCCCTGCAGGTGTGTACCAAGCATCTCGCCAACTGTGTAGAAACTGGCTGCTGCTGTCCCACTAACTCCCAGAGTTCTCCCATTCCACCTGCATCACTTTAACTCGTAGCTGCTCGTCATCTCTTAGACACCGAGCTGCCTTAGAGGTAGTTCTGATCTCCGTTACGATGTTTTTTATTTTGTCTTCTTTGTTTTAGTGGTTGAGTTTATCAAGCCTCACCTATGTGCAAGTGTTGAGTCCGTCCTGAGCTGTCCATGCGGTGTGTCACTAACCTGCTGCTTTGCTGTTTGAAGCATTAACATCTTTTTAGAACAAGCAAAAGAGAAAGTAGCTGTAATATGAATTATTAGGATTTCAGCTCCTATATTAGTGGAGAAGCAACCGTTTTCGTCTTCTGTTAATAATAAATGTGACTTGTTGAAATTCAATGTGTCTCACTGGGCTGCGGTTATTGGAGACGAGTTAACGAATGACGATGGCGGCTCGAGGGAGTCCCTAAAGTGTCTTCAGATGTCCACAAGGGTTTACCACTCAGCATCACTGGTTGTGTAGTAAATGGAGGAGAGATGTAAAAAACACCTTCAACTTGTTCTTTGGCTTTCATTTTCATTCAGCTTTTCCCCACGTTTGTGCAGATTTTAAATAAATTCTGCACAAAATATTATCCTGTGCCCCAGGCGACTTTTAGTTCCAGTCAGTTTTCACTCAAGTATTTAAATCCAGTCAACGTGGTTTTTACTTTCCCATCATTAGATTGTGTTTCTAAACTAAATGAGAGTTTCTCCGTTTTCCTTGTCTGCATTTGTATGTGCATCAGTAGTAAGAGGAAAAACATCACTGATGTGGCACAGCAAACATTGTCAATCCAAACGCTTGTTTATTGACGTTTCCTCACAGTTACATGAGTTTTACTAGGCCTGTCACGATAACAAATTTTGCTGGGCAATTAACTGTCTCAGAAATTATTGTGATAAACGATAAGATTGTTTGAAATTTGACAATAATTAGTAATTATTGTCAAATTTAGGAAGAAATGTTTTAATTTGTTTTGCATGTAGTACCTTTTTTTGACCACTGGAGGCAGTATCAGACTGTTTGAACCAAAGAATGGATAGTGAGGGCATGAGCAGCGTGTCTAAGAAAAATGGGAGGGAGGCCCCTTGACGTGACATGGGCTGTCTCTCTTCGGTTCTCAAAATGGCAGACGCTCGGTGTGGTTTGAGCTCTTTAGCATAGCATTTTTCACACAAAACTTTTAATAAAAAATCAGTAAACAAGTTCTCAGCTTCTTTTTGCAGAGAAAAACAACTTTTTACACAAAGGCACAGGTTTCAACCGTGAATTTCGGAGCTTCGACAAGACGGAGGTTTTTGCCCGAGGTCGGCCTATTAGCTTAGCTTCTCAGCTTAGCTGCTTTTATCGATCCAAAAACACAATTTTGGATTGTTTAAATGGAGGAGAAAGAGAAAGGGAGGGCTCAGTGAAGAGCACCAGAGTTGACTTTTTGTCATCCAGTGTCTTCAGAAAGAGAGAGACATGATGAAACGATAAAATGAGGTTGATAATTTTCATTTGTCATGTGATTAATTGATTTATTGTTTATCACGACAGGCCTAAGTTTTACGGTACCGGCAGCCTGTAAACAGGGCAGCAGGTCCGTCGCCGCCTCGCTCCGCTCGGTCCGAGTCGCAGCAGGATTTAGTTTGCAGCAGGAGTCTGGATCTGTGCGGTTCTACATGAAGAGCTCCCACCACCACAACACTGTAACAACTCCGTCGTCTTCCCCGCTATCGCGTCATGGAAATCTAAATGTTTCGGTTTGACAAAACTAGGGGGGGCGAATGCGGTTTGAGCAAATCCTTATCACACACACGCTCCCTGCAGCTTTGCGTTTTTTTGTTTTCTTTTTTTTTTTGACGGCGTTCTCAGGCCCATCTGCTTTTAACTTTCTCCATTCATGCAATGTGGTGACGGGCGCCTTTTGATGGTGAACTCTGACATTTAGAAGTCACTTTCTGTTGCAGCCTTCCTCCCTTTCTCTCCCTTTATCGATCTAAATATGGCCTAGTGCCTTTCCTTGTGGTTAAACCTGGTGACTCATCTCATGTTCTGGTAATGATCACAGGATCCTGCTAACTGCTTTGATGCGGCACTCAGTCTGCTGTAAGTGGAACACCTCAGCGCTGTTTCTCTGTTAGTTCCTCTATGTTTAGCTCGGAGCAGGAGAACGCTTAAAAATAGCCTAATTTCTTCGTATGAAGAGTTCAAGCGTGAAAAAAATAAATACAGTAGCCTCTCGTTTATTGCAAGAGTTACATTCCGGACCCCTCCCCCCCTCAATAAGTGAAAATCCACGAAGTAGCAACATTATATTTATTTAAGTGTTTTAAGGCTTTATAAACCCTTCCCACTCTCTTGCCATGTTCTAAACTCTTAAACCTACATCATTTTAACAACATATGTACAGTACTGTATATGTAGCTACTAAATTTTACTCGGCAGAACAGCAGCGGCTCGGTTCCGCTCCGACATGGTTCCGTTCGGCGGACCTCCCCTGCCGGTTCTGGTCGGCTCTGGCGATGGGCTCCAGAGAGAAGCCGGACCTAGAGCGGCGCGTCCCCCATCGGAAATCCTCGTGGACCGGCTGACAGCTCTCTGGTTCGCCGATGAGTCTGAGGGTCCGGTTCTGCTCTGGTTCTATGCAGCCCTTGAGCGCCAAAGTGCATTTTGGGGGCAGACCTTCGAGTGGCCGGCACGGGACCGGTGGTCCGATTGAGCAATCCGATAAAGAGAAGAAAAAAGTCCCGGTGGGCCCCGGAGGGAGGACCAGAACTACAGCAATGTGCGTCCCTTCTCAGAAGTCCTCGTGGGCCGGCTAGCAGCTGTCAGGTTCACTGGTGGGTCTGGGGGTACGGTTCTGGTCCAGTTCCCAGTGGTTCCATGTAGCTTTCTGCATCTGCTGGGCGCCAAAGTCACTTTATGAATAAGGACAAAACTTTTCCCGGTCCAATCAAAACTTTCCCTCTACATGTTCAGAAGAAGGAAACGGGGCTTCAGGGCGAGGCTCTGTTGGCTTCTGGGAAATGTAGTCCTTATGAGTGGCGATACGGTGGAGGCTTAAAGAAAAACTACAAAATTTCAGTGCCTGTCCGAAGTGTATTATTTTTTTGTTAAATGTTTTACTGTACAGTATCCAGTACTATCTCAATCACGTGAGTAATATTAAAGTTCACAATATGTACCGTGCACATTTTTTTTTTCCCCTTGTGTTCAGTCTTATTTTGGAAAAAACGCAAAAGAGCGAGTCTGTGAAAATCAAACCGCGAATTAGCAAGGGATTACTGTTTTAGGATTAATTATGGCACAGTTAGAGCTGCGTCTTTAATAACGAGACAATTCTCATCGCAGCTTGAACACCTCTGTGTCGTTCAGGTCTTGTTTGGAGCCGCGGACTTTTGTTCATTCTTCTAGAGACAAACTGTCGACTCTTCTAAGGTTTTTCCACAGATTTCTGAGTTTTAGATCTGGAAGAACCTTTTGATTCGGTCCAAAATGAATTCTGTGGTGTGTTAAAGATGATTATTTAGTTGTAAAAAGAACTTTTAATTATTTGGTCTTTTTTACTTGAAGGTACGAGTCCAAAAATGATAATAATTGAATCAAACTTTCCCTCTGTTTACAAAATATTCAGTGCCCTTTATAACACAAGCCCATATCATGATCAAACCACTCCTGTGGAGTTATTTCCACAAACTTCAGAGTCCTTATTTATTACATATATATTTATTTATTTATTCTATTGTAGCAAAAAAAACAACTTCTTTGGCATTTTGTCAGCTGTTTTGTTACATATTTTTGATACCGGATTCAGGAAATATTTCCTTTAGATGACCTTCAGTAACATTGTGTCTGTCAAGCAGCTCCATCAAAATATTTTCTGTTTTCCACGTCTCTGTTCGGCACTTTTTCAGCTGAGATTCTGAACTACATCACAAACAGGAAGTAGTTTCTAAAAACATGTTGATTTCTCCCGTTTTTGATTTAAAGGGTTTTAAAGAATAACCCCAGTGGCGCTCGAACCTTTTACATGTTGAGTGGTAATCCTTTCCAAAACATGAAAAAAAAAAAACTTTTAACATTTTGACAGATGAGCTTTAGTGCAGTTTGAGTTTTTGTTTTAAAGAGATCTAAACATTCTGAACAGAGTGGTACAAAGTTTAGCTCATTCTCTTTGTCAGACAAAAACCATGCTGTAGATGGCGAAACTGTGGGTTTGAATCCCAAGACCAGCACAAAACAGTTGGGTGGGAAAGGTGAAGCAACCACATCAGCCTGCACCCTTGTTTGGCCTTCTGTGGGCCCTTGAGCAAGGCTTCTCCTCTGCTGCACATGTGATGGGGAAAATGCAGTGAATTAATTTCCACATTGGGGGTTAACAGAGTATTTGTCACCTTTTCTGTAGCTTTCTGGCAAAGACCCAAAGTTTTATCGTCCGTGTTCAAACAAAACACGACGGCGTCGTAGTTGAACTAACATGAGTAGCAATAATAAGCAGAGCAGACCAAGAAGTAGTGCTTCATACGTTGTTGTTTGTTTGTGTGTCCATGTTGGTTGACCTGGGTGTGAGTCTGAAGCCTGCTGACGTTTCCCATCCACACTTTATTCACAGATAACTCTCTCTGACTGTCCCCAGGAGGAAAAAGAAGTGCATTCGCTACCTTCAAGGAGGAGGCTGCCCCAGCCCAGCTTCTTCAGATCTAAGTGCTATAGACTCTCCCCCCTCCCCATCTCCTGCACGCCACCGCCTCTACCAGCAGCCCCCCTCCCCGGGCCGCTCCCCGCCGCCCACCTCCACGTCGACGCGCCTCCCCTCGTCTCCGCACACACGCTCACACGCACGCTTCGCCCCGGAGCAGTCTGCCGGCAAGCGGGCGGCAGACTTCCGCCAGCCCGCAGCCAAACGCGCCCCCGCACACCTGGAACTGTCCGGCAAGCAGACGCTCTGCTCCACGGCGCTGTCCGCCGCCAAGGTGGCAGGACTGTCTCTCAAAGTGCTGACAGAGACTCACTGATGGCCGGCGTGTCTCACCGCTCGCCTCCTCCCCGAACAGTATTTCTGCTGCATTTCAAGCAATACTCGCTGAACAGAAGCTTTTTATTCAGACTGCCCGTTTGTAAATTATGTATTTGACACATTTGGTTTTAATCGTATTTTTTTTACCAGGTTGGGGTGTTTTATTGTTTTTCGAGGAGTGCACGTGCAGATCTGTAGGCTCACAGAAGAGGAATCAAGCAGCCAGCTCCTCCACACACCAGTTTATGATGTCTGGTTCATTCGGCTGCGCTCCTTCAGGGTCACTGCGAGCAAACATGTAGTAGAAGGCAACTGTTTTACAACAAATGTCTTTCCTGGGCTCGAACCTGCAGCCTCGGGTTTATGAGACCACAGCACTGACCACCGAGCTACCGCAGTCCTCACCAAAGTCTGTATTAAACAGAGGCAAAATAATGTCCAGAACCAAAATGTGTTCTTCAGCTCAAACGCCTGCCGCTAATCTTAAATCAGTCCGCTTCCCCTCCAGGGTTCCTGAGCGTAATAAAAGGAGAAATGCATATTGCCCGCCACTTTTCACAACCGTTTTAGAGATAAGAGTTACAACTTTCAAGATGTCACACCTGGAGTATGTGTTGGGAATGACTCAGCTACCACATTAATTTTAGCCGAACATCTGTAGAACTGACCGAGTTGTGTATTTAAATTTTTTTTTTTTTGCTCAAAATGTTCATGAGATATTTTGCTAACAAACATGAACAGACACAGGAAATGGCTACAGTTTCTGCTGACTTTGTGCTTCAAGACAATCAGCTGTTTTACAAAGAAAAAAGTTCTTAAAAGAAAAAGCAATCTTGCCAAAATGTGCGTTGAGATGAATTTTATTATGGTGGAAATGTTCTTCAAATGTTAAAACAGCTCTGATTTTTAATAATGTGGGAAGCAGCCATCACGTAGACCTGCAGACGCCCCGATTTTAAAAATAAATCATTCAATTTCTTTTAGATGCAGTTTCACAAAAGGTCTGTTTGGAGTGGAAAACAAAGAAAATCACTTGTTTTAGGCACTTTCAGGCTATCCAGCTTCAGCTGTTTCGTTTTGTTTATCGTCTGACTCCTGTAATTTTTAAGGTTTTTCTCAAAGAGGTTTTTTTTTATCTCTACCTTTTATTCCATCGACCTTTCTGCAGTTCTACAAACTAATGAGACCAAATGGGTACTATTTTATTGTGTTGTAAAGTTTTATATTATAAACTTTTGTATGTTTTTATGAAAAAAAGTTGCATTTCTTTAAAAAAAAATTCTAGTTTTGATCTTTTTCTAAAAGCAATGTTTTGTCTGTGCAGATTTTTGTAAAGTGTTCAAACTATACCTGTGCATGTTCCAGTTTTATCGTTGCATTTATATCATTTGTTGTTCAGCGCCATGTCCAAACTCCGCTTCTCATCGTCGTCTTCCTCCAGCAGAGGCTCGTGTGTGAAAAACGGCTCGTTTTAATTGGAGGTCGTCCAGGCAGAACCCCCTCCAAGACGTCTTCGTCTCTCTGAACTCCTGATGGGAGTTTTATTTTGTTTGTTTTGATGTATCGAGTGTTTTTGAATTTCTCTTCCACGGCTGCAAGATGAAGATTTCAGAAAATAAAAGTTTAAATTGATTCAAACTGTCACCGTCAATGCAAAAATAACACACACCGTCCGTTTCTTAGGTTTTATTTACTCCATTGTGTTTAATCATCGCCCCTCCCTCCCCCAAAAAAACTTGTCAAAGCCATACAGGAATTTAAGTAATTCTGCGTAACGGAAGATTAACTTCACTTTTCCTACACAATTTCACAAAACATACATTTACAGAGCAATAACAACATTCACCCTCATTTTTCCCAAAGTCGTTTTATTTAATTCAATGAAACTAAAAGAAAAACATCTCCAGTAAAAAAAGAACCTATTAAACTGGGGACATCCAGGAGGACAATTAGATTTTTCTGGGTGGTACAAAGACATGAAACTGTATAAGATGTTGGTACGCAACATAGTGAGTGTGAAAACAGTAACAAGCTTTAAATTAACGACATCACAGGTAGGTTTAAATGGTCATGCGTTTATTGGTACACGGGAATCGGGGGAACTAGTGGGCGACAGGAAATATATACTAAAAGTAAATATTAACAAGTATGAACAAACGCCAGTGCAACCAGTCAGCGAGGACAACCCTTGTCAGTGTGGTCAGCAGGACCCGCCCCTTTACTTCTCTTCACACCACTGGTTCTCTTTGCGTACCTGTTGGACAAACAGGTGTTTGAAAAGTTCGTCATGATCAGATTTTGTTAGACCTTGAGCTTCACTTTTAAAGGAAGAACATATTTATTTACTCCATTTTTGTCAAAGTGATGGATGGAATAAATACCTGGGCTTCCTCTTCCTCTGTAAAATCATTTTTGATGTTGAAAGTCTTCCTGATCTCCTCCGGGGTTTTGCCTTTAATCATGTTGGCCACTGTCTTGCAGGTGACGTCTAACAGGCCTTTGATGTCCAAATAGTTGGCGGCCTGAACAAACAAACAAATAAACACAAAGTGATAAAGAGATGAAGAGAAGGTTGCAGGGGAGAACACACACTTGTTTGATACCTGAACAAAATTATTCAGCATCTTATTTAAGGAACTGAGAATAAGAAAAATAGCATTTCCTGCCAAAATGCAGTGTGAATGCTTACTGCAGAAGAATTTGCTGAAAAACAGCTGAAATTCGCTTTTAAAAAGCATGCTTAAATGTAGCTGAAATAGAAGAACACGACTACCGGTAAATTAGAAGCAGAAATAACGTTTGCTGAATTAGTTTTAAATAAGCAGAAATGAGCATAAAAATTAAGAAATTTGCTAAATTAAAAAAAAAAGTAGCTGAAAGGCACAGAAGCTTAAACTACCAGACAGAAGCAGAAAGAGCTGAAATGAGCTCCAAAAATGTCAAATTAGCTGTAAAAGATTAGCTCAACAGTAGCTGAAATAGCTGCAGAAATTCTCAAAAAACTTGAATTGATCTGAAATTAGCTAAAAAATGCTAAGTAGCTGAAAAGGTAGAAGTTAAATGAGCATAAGAAAGCAGAAAGGAACACGTTTGCCCAATTAGGTTGAAAGGAGAAATGAAAGGAGAAATGAGCACAAAAAAGTGGAAATTATCTGAAAAAAAGCTGAAAATAGTTTAAAAAAATACAGCGAAGTAGCTAAAAAGCAGAAAGAGGCTTAAATTGCCAGAAGGAAGTGGAGAGCACATTTTTGCTGAATCAGGTTGAGAAAAGTTGGAGTGCAAAAAATGTGGAATTAGCCACAAAAAAGCTAAAATTAGCATAAAACAGCTAAATAGCTGAAATATCAGAAAAAGCTGAAATTAGCAGAAAGTTAGAAGAAGCACAGAAATGTAGTTAGCAGAAATAATCTAAAGGGATCACTAAACAGCTGAAAGTAGCCAAAAAAAAAAAGTTTAAATTTGCACAAGGAAGCTGAAAGAAGCTGAAGCAGGTCTAAATATGAAAAGGAGCAGTAAGAGGTTTTGATGGCTGCTTGTGTCAGACAAATTAAACTGTCAAACGTAACATTTTACAGCAGCTCAGTGAGAGCCTTTAATGAAAATGAAGGGAAGAAGAAAAAAACTTCAAATCTTAATCAAAGTTGCCGTTTTGTTTTTTTTTCCATTTATTTTTGTGACAGGGCCAGTTATCCTGTAGGTTCTGCTGCTTTACTAAACTGTTTAAACTTTAGTGAGAGGAAGCGCTGGGAACAAATACGGAGCTAATTTTAGTCCAACTCCTCTTCCATTTCTCCAGCGAGTCACTCCAGGAACGCTGCAGCTCAGCCCACAAGGTGTCGGCAGGTTTGTGAACGTGGTGAACATGAAGTAAAGGAGCGCCTGCCGAGACCCTCCATGTTTCCACCATCTTCTATCTTGGAGCTTGAAAACACTTCTCGCAGTAGGTAATCATCTCAGGTTACCACTCAGCTGCATAGATTTAACCTTTTTAAACCTCGAGGCTCTTTCATAAAATACTTCTAGACAAGACTTAAATACCTTCTGGCCGCCTCGGTGCGATATCTGAACGGGCCGAGGCGGCCAACCCTGATGCACCTTAGTGCCGCTAAGCGAGGCAGTAACAGAGCTGCAACGGTCGACACGTGAAAAAGGTGATCAATAATGTGATCAGTAATGTATGTGCAACCAAGATCAATGACGACGCTGCAACTTAGCATTTAGTTGCGAAAAAAGTTAACCAGAAAGAAAAGCATAATTGTTACATTTGTAAAATGATCCGACACATTTAACGAGTGTCGCAGCCCAGTTCTGCTCCGCACCTCAATTGATTCCGGATGTGGAAAATAAACATTCCCTTCATAAGAAACTAATACAGCTTTAAGCTAAATGTAAAGTAAAACATATTTACCAGAATGAGCTCAAACAGGGTGCCCTGGTCTACTTTGAGGAACTCCTGGTCCCAAACAGGAATGTCGTCCGTCCTCTTCTCCTTGTTCTCGTCGTCCTCAGGAGGAGGAGGGTCGTCCTTGTGATGAGTGCACCACTGAATCACCTGAAGAAAAACACATGCACAGATTCACTTTGACTTCCAGTTCAAATGTTTAAACAAATAAACTGGTCTTTGTTTCTTATAAAAAGTCACCATTTTAAGTGGTGTGTGTATATAAATATGACAAGAAGAAACGGCTGCATAAAATAAGTTTAACCTGCACAACAGCTGCAGCTTATTCTCATATACAGGTCTGACGTTTTATCCTCAATGCACAGAAAATAAACCCCGCATAATTTATCGTTTCATGTCCAACAAACCTGATCAAATCTTATCTCAACGTTGCAGTGACGTCATTCATCACTCTGCTGGGGATCAGTGATTGATTGGTGTGAGAGGGACAGGTGTGTGTTCTGTACCTTTTTAAGGATAGCAGCATTCACGTTAGGGAGGGGAACTGGGTCATCATCTCCTTCATCATCCATTCCCAAATCTGGCAAATAAATCAGTTAACAGTCAGCATCAGTCTACATGCTACACAGCAAGTATTGAAAACCCAACCCCAGAAAAACGTCCTTACCTTCTAACATGGTCTTGATGGTGACAGACTGTTTAGCTATTTCGACGTCTACCTCGAAGATTTCCCCATCAGAGCTCTGTAGCTTTATCGTGGGCATTTTCTGTAATGAAAGGTACATTTCGTTAAATAAGGCGGCAGGTCAGCGTCAACAAAACGAACACACGGTGACAAAATTAACTTGTTTACTCGCGTTCGTCGGTTAGCAAACATCAAGCTAACGTTTTAGCTAGTCGACAAATTGTGACTTCCAACCATAATAAAACACTTGAAATTACCAATTAGATACTAATGACGAAGCGGAGCAAATGTGAACCTAAATCAGAGCTGACATTGTAAGTTCCCTTGTATTTTTTTTTTTTTAATTAATTTAACAAACGATAGCTAAAGAGCCAAGCTAGCTAACCTAGCACACGGGGCTAACGAGGCTATGCTACAGCTAGCTAGTTTGGCTTACAGTGGATTAAAATAACCCCTATGCTCCTTAAAGCATACAACTCACAACAGGCGGCTTGTTTTCTTTTAAAAAGCAAAATATTTCGATAATGTTCAATGGTTTACATTAACCAGGCAGCTAGAATTACAAGACGTTACTCCAGCGGTTTGCTAAGTCAGCGAGGCCTCTTAGCGACCACGTCGAGTTTCGATCTAATTAGAAAAAATAACTTTCAGCCCGACTTCCGCAGGTAAATTCAACTCACGGCAACTTACTGTGAACGACTCAACAAAAATCCAGGTGTGTTTTTTCTTTGCAGTCCGTAGAAAGGCCTGGCAGCCGTAAGGACACCGACAACCACTGGAAGTCTCACTCTGTATTAACCCGCTCCGAGGCTCCTGCTGCCGCCTGGAGGCTGACCGTCGAAAGGAGGTGCGGGCAGCAATTCTTTTTTATTTAACCTACTTTTAATCATTCACTTTCAAGCTTTAATGCAGTAAGAAAAATGCACACTTCATATATTGTACCGTTCTCCTCCCATAACAAGTCTCCTTTCATATTGGTGGAAATTAACCGAGATAATCGTTTATTTTACAGTCCATAAATGCGCTTATTTAGGTTTATTTCGCTTTTTCCATGAATGTAGAAACTACTGATACAAAACTAGTCATACATTTCATAATATAATAAAAAAAACACAATAACACACCTTTTATTGGCCGTTGTGTAGTACCTAAATAAAACCAGCTGTGATCATATAGTATTTTTTAATTTAGTTTTTATTCTATTTATATTGCTTTGTAACGGAGAAATGTGCAAACTTTTTCAATTCAAATTAGGAGGTGTAGTAATTTAATGACAGAACTGAATGGGTTGAATATTCACCTGTGTAGTACTTAAATACACCACAAGGGGGCGCGCGTTGCCTCTGGTTACTGGTATTTTCGAGCCGAGCCTATGGTGCGTTCAAGTGCTATTTCGTATCACGTCCGTGCCGCGTTTCACCAATAAAATGCTATATTCTTGCTTCGTTTTAAAATATTTACAAGCACAAACCAATGTAAAGGTAAAAGTAGTTAAAATTATGTATAGGTTTACCTAAATCTTTAGTATTGTTTGGCAAATACTTTTATATATACTATTTTAACGGCATTTATTGCAATGTATGAAATCAAACATAAAAGGACTGCTCTACATTAAACGGTGAAGTTTTCCAAATCGCTCAATGTAAACAAAGTTCTCAGCTGAATTAGAGAAAACCACGTGGATGCTGATGGATGGTTGACCTACATTCAGATGGCCGTTGTCTGTGTAACTAAGTTTAATATTTGACCTATTCGCAGTCGCTTTGGCTGTTTCCATAGGTAAACAAACACACGTGGTAGTTGGCATCCACATCACTAACTTTGCTCCAAATACTTTTTAAGGACATTATCATTATGAGAAAATAATTGCGTGAAATTTGTTTCAATTGTGTAAAATTATATGAACCAAGATGATTTATGTTCGATAACCAATTAACATAATTAAAACATTTTAATATAAAATATTACCTCCATTTACCGATTGCTAATTAATTTTTTGTTTATGTAAAAGCCTCGTCACTAGCGATTCAGTTTATCACCATTATTGACTAACAGCTAAAAACACATTTTTGTAACATCTACCGTAACACAAGTTGGTTGTGCATCTTTAAATTTATTTTCATAGTGACACTTGCAGTTACAGCTGGCATCGTTTTTAGCAGCATAAAATAACTACAAACACTTAGTTCAAGAAGTCATCTTTACCTTTATTATTCTAGTTGTTTTTAACATACAGTCAGAAATTCAAAGGAAGTTAATGAGTTGATGAGAATGAACACTTCATCTTTTATTTAAAAACCAAGGCTGTATCACTGCATGAGAACAAGTTTCATTAGAAGGTACACAGGACAAAACATTTATGTAAAGCTTGCCTGATATAGTTTTATTCACAAGCTTTACAAAAAAAAAAAGTGTGAAGTTTTCTTAATCTTTAGACATATTTTACATTTCTTTAATCGTACAAAAGTGCAAACAGATCACGTTCAGATCTTGGTAAAATCCACGGCCTATGGGTGTTGGAGCTGCATTCATTGTAGTAAAATTTGCTTTGAACGTGGGTGCCATCAGCCCAGCTACATATGTACAGATTGGGCAATTTAAGCATCAAAGTTGGTTTATATAGTTGGACAGAAGGATCATAAATACAATTCCTCTGCAATAAATATTATGATTATGGCACACACCTTTTGGTCCATTTATAGACGTTTTTACAAAATGCTTAAATTGATTTTTGTGTGGCTGAGCGATCCTCCCTCTCCTGAACCACGGCAGCATCAGTTTAAAGTCGTATAATGACAATACTTGAATGTACAGAGGTCCAATATGGAGGTTTACAGGAAGTAGTCTGGGGTGCGGCGAGTGACGTGAGGCTCTCCTCTGCGAGGAGCAGGATCAAACTGCAAACTAAAAAAAAAAAACAACAAAAAGAATTAAAAATAAAAACTTTTCACAGTTTATTTTTTATTTTTTACTTATCAGTATTTAAAGCATCCATTCTGCAGTTTGCAAGCTTACAAGGAGTATTTGAGGGTGTCGTCGAGCTCCATGATGGCTGCCTGGTTGCCGCAGCGGTAGCAGTAGTTGGGAGCGCTGAAAATCGTCACAACGTTTCTCTCATGGCACCAGTTGTATCCCTGAGGAAGGCAGATGGTTTATTAACTGGAAATGCATATTTATGGGCAAAAGCGATGCTTTATTGGAAACTAAACATACTTTTGAACTTGCATGAGTGTCAGAGGATGATCTACGCACTAATCTTTTTGTTTTGTGGAGCAGTTTATTGTAGCGCCGTCATTGTGTGAATGTTTGTGAAGCAATTAAACTATTGTGATCCTTTTTTCTTCTGTGCATTTTTTGGCATCTTTATCATTTCACAGTTTTTGTGCCATTTCAACAAATCAAATTAAAACATTCAGCTCTTTCAGGAGAAGGGTGCTATGACTGTTGCTATTATACAACTTTAGCTTTTTGAAATATTTAGCCTTTTCTGCCACTTTCTTTTCCTCATAGAAAATGAATTGAGCTCATTTTACATCCTTCAAATCTTTAGATCTGTTTACAGCCGTTTACTGCTCCTTTCACATTTTGTTCTGGTTCAGCTTCTATCACTTTCCTTGTGCAAATTTAAAAACAATTCAGCTACTTTCAGCTCATTTCAGCTGGTTTTTAAACTATTTTGTGCTGCTTTAAGATTCTTTTGGCTGACTACAACATTTTTGAGCTTCTTCTAACTTCTTTCTGTTAATTTCAGCTTGTTATGCTCCTTTCAATTAATTTCTGCAAGTTTCAGCATTTTATGCTATTTCAGCTACTATTTAGCCGTATTATGCTAATTTTAGCATTTTCAGCTAATTCCACATATTTTGCACTCATTTCAACTTTTTTCAGCCCAATTCAGCAAAAATGTGCTCTCTCCACTTCCTTTTGGAAATGTATGCTTCTTTCTGCATTTTTAGCTACTTTTCGTCTGTTTTTTGTGCTAATTTCAGCTTTTTTAAGATAATTTCCACCTTTTTGTGCTCATTTCTGCTTCTTTCAGCCTAATTGGGCAACGTTGTGCTCTTTCCACTTCCTTCTGCTAATTTAAGCTTGTTCTACATTTTCAACTATCTTTTTTTAGCTAATTTCAGCTGTTTTCAGATCAATTCAATTTTTTTGTGGTAATTTTTGCAACTTTCAGCCTAATTAACTTCTTTCTACCAATTTCAGCTTGTTATGCTCCTTTCAGCTTATTTCTGGCAAATATATGTTCTTTGCCTTCTTTTACCAACTTAGGCTTGTTCTTCCATTTCAGCTATATTCCAGCATGTTCTTAGCTAATTTCAGCTGTTTTTCAACAAGTTGTTCAGCAACAAGCATTCACACTGCTTTTTCACAGGGAATGCAGTTTTTTCTAGCTTAAAATTGATGTTTCTCCTGATACATTTAAGATCATATTATCCTTGTCAGGTAAAACGTATAATATAAACATTTATACTCAGTGTTGTTTTTAAAGCATATTTATGCAACTATTTCTCTTATTTTGGTCAAATTAACAAATATTCAAAATAAAAATACAAACCTCCATAACCAGCTGGTGGGCTCGAGACACCAGCGTGAGGCGGTTGGCGTGGTTGAAAGTCTCAGAGATGTCCTGACCGAATGTGTAGCCAGCTCCCCGCGGAGAGATGCCCCAGCCGCCGCGGTCATCGGGGTCCGACCACAGCAGGTCGCACATGGGACCCTACGCAGGACGAGCACCAACAGGTTGGAAAACAGTCTAAACTGTGTTTCATCAGTAAATATACAAAGTTCAGAAAACGGATTTCTTGAAATTTTAATGGCCGTCTTCACCTCGTGTGGTACTTCCTGTAACCGGTCCAGTGCTCTGATGTGATCCAGTGTATCTATAGACGGTGACAAGCCCCCGTGAAGGCAGAAAATCTGAGGGGAAGAAAATATTCCTAACTTAGCATTTGAATTTTATTTAATACATTGCTACAACAGTTTTTTTTAATTATTATTCCTGTGAAAGCAACAACAACAAGAGTGCAAGTCTCACCTGAGAGTCTACCAAGGCAGTGAGGGGGAGGTAATCAAACAGATCTGTGAAGAACTTCCAAACGTTTGCGTTTCCGTATTTCCTCAAGCACTCGTCGTAGAAGCCGTAGACTTGTGTGATCTGCCTGCTCTCGTGGTTCCCTCTGAGGATTGTGATTCGCTCCCGGAAGCGAACCTAAAACACAGATTTGTTTACTTGGTACCTTTTGTTCCACAAACATGCAAGCACAACAGATTTAAATACCGAGTATTTTTGCTTTAGTCACCTTAAGAGATACAAGTAAAGTGACTGTTTCTACAGAGTAGTACCCTCTGTCCACATAATCTCCCATGAACAAGTAGTTTGTATCTGGAGACTTCCCTCCGATCTTGAACAGCTCCATGAGGTCGTGGAACTGGCCGTGCACGTCGCCGCACACGGTCACCGGACATCTCACCTCCTGGACGTTTGACTCTTTTGTCAGGATCTCCTTTGCCTGCAGAAAGAAAACGCATCGGATGTCACGGTTAATAAATTAATAAAACGGGGAAAACCAGAAAGGGCTTAAAGCACATTAAACGTTCAAAGGATCCATTATCAGTTATTTTAAAATGCAGAAAGATTACTGTGACCCATGTGAGACAGCACTGACTGTAATTTTCTGTTGTTTTCCATCTGTATTTCAGGAACTGGCCATTTCCTGACCGCCGTTCAGAACACACTTGCCACAACAGCCCCCATGAAGTCTCATTAAAGTGCGGCACACAGTGCAAGTGTGATTGTGGGGGTGTGAGTGTGTATTTTGAAGCTGTGTCTAGTTTCCTGTGGGTCAGCACTGCAGTGTTTGGACTCGCATTAATATTCACCCCCCAAAAAATCAATAAGATTAACGCTTCAGTTCTCAAACTAGAGTGCAGAATATTTGCTGGCATTTTTAAAAAACAAACTTGGCTTTTTTATTTAGGATGACTCAGCTAACTCATTTAATGTGACTGGACATGCCATGTCAACAACGATTAAAAACTAGACTGAGATGTAGAATTGTTAAAAATATAATATATATTCCTGGACTCCATTTGTCTCTGTAGTTTATCCTACCCATAATTCATCACTAAGCTAAGGTGCAGTTTGCTGCTGCAGTGAATGACTCAGCATGTGGCCTTCTGCCAGTGCTTTTAGAAACCTTCAGTTACCGCTGCCTCAAACAGAAGAAGTCAAACTGGTTGGACACAGAATACACAGAATTTTGAACTATTTGGCTTCATTTATAACTAAAAACTAAATAAATTAAGACCTATTTCTGACGCTTTTATGGGACAGCAGGCTGGCCTCACTGAGGATTTGGAGCAAACAAAACGACCGCCAACACTCGACTGACACACTAACGAATCGTGTTTTGTTTTTAAACACCTAAATCGCACGAGCAGCACTGTAGAAACTACGTGCATGTCTCTCCCCATCAGGTGTTTCGACAAAATTTGAACATCCTTATGGAATCTTTCAAATAACAGAGCATGAGAAGAGGAAACGACATAAAACGGAGCACTTTCCCTGGCTTGTCGCCAGCTGAGGGGTCAGAAACCCAGAGTGGACAGGACACGTTGCACAATGCTGACCTATATTACACATACACAAACCACCACGTGTGGCAGAAGGCATTTCAGTCACTGGACTCTGGATGGCATGTTGAGCAGACACACAAATCTCTAAAGCAACTGCGTCACTAAGCCGGGGAGAATATTCTAGATGTCTGCGTATTAAAGTGGAACAGCAACATACAATACCTTCACCCTTAACTGAGTGAGATGGAAGAAGAAACAGCGTGTCTGTGTTTTAATTCAGCAAAAGGGCCTTCTCCTACTCCGCTCCTGTTTCCTGGAATATCTTACAAAAAGATTTGAAGCTCTCGACCTTGACCTCTCTTAAGTGTCTTTAAGAATCTGTTGGACTCCTGGCAGGGTCCAATGCTGACATGTTCCTGTTTTTAGTTTTCTACATTTGTCTTGGAATCTAGCTGTTTCGTTTGTTTTGTTACCTTTTTCCTTTTAGCCATCCTATTTGTTAAAAAAAAAACAAAAAAAACTGTAGTATGAGTTTTTATAACTGTTTATTGTTGTTGCTGTTGTCCATTGTTGTCATCTTTCTTTGTTGAAATCAGGTCTCTCTTGTAAATGAGTCCTCGAGGCTCAATGGGATTTACCTGTATAATTAAAGGTTGATTGATAATAAAACACTTCTCTGAGTCTGAACCATTGAATGCACCCTGGCCAGAAGTGGAAAACTAATCAATATATGCCAAATCTATCAAGCAGTGAAGGGTTCAAACTGTTGCCTTCCTGTCTTTTGTGTGTTTGTATGTCATCGCTCAGGATGACATTTGCACAGAATGGGTAGTTAGAAACTGATATTTGTTACTGCCTTAGTCACGAAGATGACTCCAAAGCATCAGGTTCCAGATCTGTGCCAAACAAGTCCATTACTCCTTCTAGAAATCCCCTTCTCCAATTTCAATTTATATTTAAACGGGCATCTTCTTTGAAAACAAAATCGGTATCCAATGTTGAATTCACACCATAAAATATAAATATGAGCAATATATGCATCAAATACCAGCCATATATAAAACTGGCTAAACCACTGTCATGACAAATTCAATGTAAATTAATGTGTATCTGCTTAATGTCACATTTTCTTTCACTCGTAGTTTTTTATTAATGCACAATCCATTCCCTCTGGTGTACTTAATAATTTTGATTAAAATAATAATAATAATCCTGATTATTGTCAGCAGTGCCAGGTACAACAGGTCACCCCAGTTGTTCCACAGAACCAGCATCTTTCTTAAAATGAGATTTTAGGATGATGTAACCTGACAATGCAATCATAATTAGGCAGAAAGTGATAAAAGCACCACTCAGGGGATTAAGCTCTAATCAAATATTAAGTCAACCTGGATGAATTGAGCCAGTGGGACATGCTTCTTCAGTGTGAGCTAAAACCATGGCCACAGTGTGTTTGTGTGCGAGGGAACAGTTTATCACAGCCCAGAGCGATGATGCCACCAGGCGTGGATAAAAATGACAGCAGTTGTTACGTAAACACCTCTACCAAAGTTCAGACGTTCAGACCACACCTGCAACAAAAACGCTGCCCAGGTTCCAGGTACAGCCAAGACGTCACCGAGTCGACAGACTGCTCAGCCCAGTGTCGAAGTCAGCACGTTTCCCACTGCTGTACAGTAATCCCGTGTCTCCAACGTGCAAATTACAAATTAAGCTCCAAGGATGATTTCGCACATGATTTTTATGGTGGTTAGAAAACTCCCAGTTAGCGTCACTACTGTAGAGACGACTGTACGCAGACAAACAATGACAAACTGTTTGCTTTGTCAGCATTTCTTACGACGACACAATCAGGTTTTAGGTAAGATGCATTTAAAGTTCATTTTGAGTGCACCAACAAGGAATCATTTCATCTAATGAGACGTTATTGAACTCAGGATGAATTTAAGCAGAATCAGTTCAGACGAGTGAAAACAAGCAATCCTTCAAACTGCTTCCTTAACAGATTTGTTCTGCTGAGTGAAACGATGACCTCAGAAACAAACGAGGCTCGACCGCCTCGATGCTACTGCTGCAGTTTGTGCTAGTAAAGTTACTGTTGTGTTTTCTTTTTTTTTGCTGAACTCTAAAGAATGTCTGTAAATAATAGTTGACGTTATCAGAGCATGACTGTCATCAGTAGTGATTTTGACGTTCGACTCTTAATACATTCCCAAGGATAAACACGATGCTAACGGTGTTAGCTTTTCTATGGCATTTTCAAATTTGTTAGCATCTACGCTAACCACTGGTCAGCAGCTTGGTAATATGTTTTTTGACAGATGTTATTATGTATAATGCATCAGTATTACTGGTAGTTTTATAATCACATCACAGCTCTCTGAATTATAATCAAGTCAAACTGTGAGGTGCTGAAAGAGTCCCCATCTTAGTCATCAAGACACCGAAGATTCCGTTCTATATTCTACAATTAATAAATTTGTAACTAAATATACTTTACCCACTTTTAACCTCACTGCAATTGCAAATAATTTAGTCAACATAAGACTGATCAAAGCCAATCTGGAGGGTTTATATGCAACCCTTATGAGATAAACAAAACTGGGTTATGACAAAAAAAAAGTCATAGTTGCATAAGATGGTTGGTTTACTATTAAGAGGGGAAGCAGGGTTTCAAGAAAGATTAGGCTGTTTGCACAAAACAGTCTTTCTGCACTTTATTTTATTTTTTATAAATGAGCATATGCAATCTAATTACTAGAAAACTGCATCTACTAGAATATAAATCACTTTAAAAATGATTAAAAGACTGACCGGACTGCACTGTTCTGCAAACAAACTACCGTACATTTGCAAAATACAGCTATCAACTATTACCGTAATTACAGAAAAATCATTTTTTAAAGGTTCCTTCCTCTTAACAAGCTAGTCACCGGCTGAAACCAACTCTGGTACATTCAGGCTCTTTTCTGGAGCGAGAACAGATTACACAGCACATCTCATTTCTTCACGCCCACACGCATCCCAAAACAGAGACGACTGCTCTCTGAGTCATAATGAACGGTGTTGTCCTCAGTCACACACCCTGATCCCCTTGGCAACAAAAGGCCTTCAATGGTGTTAGTGATGAAACACACAATCATTTCCTCTGCTATTTTTAAATCAAGGAGGATGTTGTGTGGGTGTGTTGTGCTGAAAATATTAAAAGTGCATAGGAGAATGAATAGATGTTGACATCTGTTGCAGCTGAGCTCATTATGAACGTTGACTCGTTATTCAGATTCAGGACGTTCCTTTTTTATTTACTGTTGGATACTTTGCTCAGCTGCTGAGAAAACAGGAGGCGGGAAATGCTTCTGCATTTGTCGTTTTATCTCAAGTCAAACAGCTGTTGTTAAGGTCAGTCGGTAACATGGCAAAGCTTTTCAACAAACTAAACTCTGTGAAATCAAAAATCATCATCTCCAGCGATGACGTTTCTTAAGAACGATGCGGCTAAACACAATGGAAAGCACTAAACTGAATACAAACGGCACAAAAAGCAGCTGTAGATCACGTCTCATACTAAACTCTTGACCCACAGTGCAACAGCTGAGAATTATGTTTAAAACTAGTTGATCTATAAAATAAAAACATTAAGATTAATGAGCCACCTGAGATTAACTTTAACCTTTAGCTCACAGCAGTAGGAGCTACTTAAAAATTTAAAACAGCATCTGTCCAACTTTTTTCTTCTCTAAAAAACTTATTTAGGGTACATTTGATTTTTTTTTTTTATGGTAGTAAAAAAAACACCGGAAGCTAGCAAGAGGTAACAACATTTTTTGCACTCTGACATTAACTTTCAAGACAAAGATGCAAGGTTTGTTGAAATCATTCCAAACTGCAACTTTAGAGGGTTGGGGGGGGGGTCCTATATTAATGCAAAACAGGACAAACAACCAGCACAATGTGAAACAAGAGCAGCCAGTGTAGTGCGTGCATCTTTACTCAACAGGTTGTGTTGTTTTGTGGAAAAAGTTGTCCTCACAAATTATTACATATGCAACCAAGAAGCTAAATAAAGACAATGAGTTTTTAATAATAAAAAAAAAAAAACAGCAACCCTATTCACTAGCTGTGACAAATGAAGAAAAATTATAGACACAACAACTTATACAATAAATCCTCCATTTATTGTGGATGGAACCTTTAATGGGTCGTTACAGGGATGTTTGATTTTAAAAGCCTGTATTTGTAGAGGCTTATATCCATCCATCCATTATCTTTTACCCGCTTCTTCCATTTTGGGTCACAGGGTCGCCGGTGCACATGTCCAGCAATCACTGTGCGCGGGGCGGGGTACACCCTGGACGAGTCGCAAGTCCATCACAGGGCCACATAGAGACAAACAACCATTCACTCTCTCACTCACAACTACAGACAATTTAGAGTTACCAATCAGCCTAGCATGCATGTTTTTAGTCTGTGCAGGTAACCAGGGTAACCTGGAGGAAAGCCACACCTACAGCACAGACCAGGAAGCAAACCTGCAACCTTCTCACTGAGGGCAACTTGAGTTCCTGAAATGTTTCTAGTCTTTTCAAACCTTTCAAAAGGTCAAAATGACCTAAAATCATAGTTCCCCAGATGACAACAACATGATTGATGCTCTAGGCACAAATTTTCAACTTAACCAGAAATTAATCAGCGTAAATGTGACTACGAGGTAATAAAACAATTTTGCTAACATCCAGTCACCTAAAAATATAGGCAATATTTAAACCAAACATTGCCAGGATTCATATATGTTCCTTTACAAAAGTCCAGACTTTTTCCACATTCAAGTTTCCTTTTTCTCTCTCTCGCTCCCTGGCTCTTTTTTTTTTACATTTAAAATTTATAATAAATTTACTATAAATTTGTGTTCAGTCGTTGGACTGCTCTAAACTAAACAACACAGACAAAAATAGTACACATAACAGGAAAAAAGTAGCAAATGCCATTAATGGGAAACAACCTGTTGTCCTGTGTATGCTTTAGGGCTGGGCAAAGCTTTGGTTGCCAAATAAACAAATGGAAAAATATTTGCTAATTTTCACACATCCTATTTGTCTCACACACACGCTGCAGGTATGCACTGAGCTATTCTTAGTAAGTGGAAACACCAGACACCAACAGTGACTGGCTAATGTTAAACTTGAAGCTGGATGTGGAAGATGAGCCAAAAGCTGGCAACATCATGGCGACCATGTCCATCTTTTATACAGAGAAGCTCTCTGATTGGCTGAGTAAATTATGTGTTAAAAATCACGTCTGACGTTTTAGAAAAATGAGCAGGGACTAAAGACCAAAATAAAAAAATTGTATTTTTTCCAGTACTGTGATTTATTAATTAAATTTATTCAGACCTAAAAATAAATGCAAGAGGAAATGCCACAGTTCGTTACACTGTACTGCGTAGGGACCCTGCATGTCTCCCTGGAGATGCCACTTGCATAACAGCTAACTAAAGACTCAGTTATTAAAATAACAAAGTGTTTTTTATAGTGAATGAGATGCTGCCAGTCTTAATAAAGATGGAAGTGTAGTACGCGAGTTGAATTACCAAGCTACTAAACCTTTTATTAACCATAACTACAGCATGCCATTATTTTTATTAAGCAGCTGCTAATACAAGCTAACCGCTTCTATGACTGTTAAAAAAACATCTCGGTGAAATCTACACTATAGGCGCCATTTTAAAAACGTCTAGAAGGCGGCGGGGACACAACGTTAGCGGCAACTTGGGAAATAATTGTAATAATTATAAATTTTTTATATCTTACCTTTTCACATAGCGTCTTTACTTGTCCCTCTGACAGCTGCTTACATTCGTTGAGCTGTTCAATCCACTGATCGAGCTCTTTCGTAAACGCCTTTTCGTCCATTGTTTTTTTTTCTTCTTCTTCTTCTTTCTGGTAACTGTAGCTCCTTTTGCCGAATCGGTACTAGTTTGTACAAAAGAAATTCGTTTCCGTGTTTCTCGGAACTTACACCTTGGTTACACCAGATGCCAATTACCTCTTCTAAACCGACGCATGGGTCGCTAAGATTCAACTGGATTGAAACCGAGGAAGGGGCGTCAGTCGGCGACCATTTGTCTTGTCGTCCGCCGCCACTACATAAAGTGGTTCCGGTTAGTATCTGTCAAAATAAAAGACTCGTCTCAACTGAATCAAATTGATTTGTAACGTCAAGAATGCACTTTAAATGAGTACATGGGCTCACTCTTTTTTATGGCTTTTTATTCAAATAATATTCATATGTATAATATAACGTGAAAAAAACATATTTGCAAAAAAATAATGGTTTAAAGTAATGATTTAAAAATAGTCTTGATAAGTCAAAAGTTAAGAAGATACTTTATGGCAAATAAGGTTAACAAATTGACAGATTTTTTGATACAGATATTAGGATTGCTAATTAAAGATAAAACTTTTTGGTATCCATCCATTCATTCATTATCTTTCGTTTGTTCTAAAGTCGGGTCGCGGGGGCAGCAGCTTGAGCAGGATGGCCCAGACTTCTCTTTCCACACCCCAAGGCGTTCCCAGGCCACCTGAGAGACGTAGTTTCTACAGCGTGTCCTGGGTCTTCCCCGGGGTCTCCTTCCAGTCGAGCATGCCTGAAGCACCTCCCTAAGGATGTGCCCAGGGGGGCATTCTTACCAGATGCCTGAACCACTTCAACTGGCTCCTCTCGATGTGGAGGAGCTCTAGTCTTTCACGGATAACTGAACTTCTCACCCTGTCTCTAAGAGAATCCAGCTAGACTGTGGAGGAAATTCATTTCAAACGCATGTATCTACAGTCTCTTTCTTTTGGTCACTACCCAGAGTTTGTGACCATAGGTCAGGGTAGGAACGTAGACCGACCAGTAAAAAGAGAGCTTTGCCTTACAGCTCAGCTCCCTCTTCACCACAACGGACCAGCACAGAGTTCGCAATACTGCAGATGCTGCACCACTCATGTCATTCTCAATCTCCATTCTTCCCTCACTCGTGAACAAAACCCCGAGATACTTGAACTGCTCCACGTGAGGCAGAACCTCACCCTCGACCTGAAGAGAGCAATCCACCCTTTTCCGAGGACCATGGCCTCATATTTGGAGGTGCTGATTCTCATCCCAGCCTCTTCACACTCGGCTGCAAACTGCTCCAGTGAGAGCTGAAGATCCTGACACAATGATGCCAGCTGGACCACATCATCTGCAAACAACAGAGAAGGAATCCTGAGATTCCCCCTGCTGTGCCGAGAAATTCTGTCCATAAAAATTATGAACAGAATCAGTGACAACGGGCAGCCCTGGTAGAGTCCAACTCCCATCCTGAAGTGGTCCGACTTACTACCGGCCATGTGAACCAAACGCATTTTTTTTTTTTTTACAGCTTTTTATTTAAATAATATTCCCTATGTATAATATAATGTAAAAAAAAAAACCACACACACACATTAAAATAGTTTTAAAGTAACGATTTTAAAATATAGTCCTGACAAGTCAAACATTAAGAATATATGGCAAATAAGGTTATCAAATTTGCATATTTTATGATACATATATTGGAGTTGCTAATTAAAGATTAAACTTTTTGGTAGCAAAGTAGTCCCTCATTTTTCATTTTGTAGTATTTTTTTTATATGTAGTCGGTCACAAGTAAAATTTTTTATAAACTATTTTCAATTAAAGCGATTTTAAAATGCATTATCAGTGACACATTATCACAAGTGTTAAATTCATTGATTTAATTAAATTTGTTTATGAGTTATATCTTTAAAAGTACCATATGTCAGTATTCATTATGCTTTTTTTCACATTAAATGTATTGACGCATAGGCGTTTAAATCATGCTTTTGTATGAAGCTTTTATTTTCTGAACAAACAATTTAACTTCCGGTTTTATTTTTGTCGCTCATGTCCGGTTGGACTCAGCAGCAGCAGCGGATTGGAGATGGATGGGAGCTCCCCTGTGATTGGTTCGCTGCCTGCTTACTCTGCAATTTGATTGGCTCCCCATTTGATGGTCTACGCGTCAAAAAATTAACAACAATTAATTAAACAAAATAAAAAGACATCTTGAAACACACATTGAGTTGACTTTTTCAGGTAAAAACAAAGGTTTATACAAGTATTGTTCATTTTATTTTCTTTCTAGAATATTCTCGAAATTTCTGGACACAGTCCACATTAAAGGGCCGGATTGTGCTGTTGTAAATAAAAGGCAGAGTTTGAATCATGTTAATCTCTTTTTGTGAGTTTCACTCGTTTATGTTTTTAGAGGCATTAGCCCCAAAATAACAGGCAAAGTCTTGCGACCTCAGATAGCCTTAGTTGAATTTTACAAATATTGATTAAAAAATTTTAAATAAATGAAGGCAACAACACAAATAGCTTAAAGTAATACTACTTTTGTTTAAATTTATGACCATTATTTTTGTATTTTGTAACAGCTATAGTAAAAAAAAAAAAAAAGCCAGTAGAAATTATTTTTAAATTTAGTTTAATTTCTGGAAATCATCTCCTGACCACTAAATTGATGTTTTGTGAGCCACAGCAGGAGCCCATCCCTAATTTTGAGAACTATTACAATACCATGTTTCAAGCTCATTCCACACACGACAGAACTAGAAATTGTATGACAATGTCTATAGAAACTGATTAATTAGCCTGACACTTTAACAAATAAAAGGCAATAATTTGTTCAGCACCAAGGATGAGATATATAAAACAAGTTTCCAGCAAAATATGGACACTCACTTCTAAGATTGTGACTTTCTATCCACCAGCATTCATTTTCTAATAATCATTTTTGAGAGAAACATAGATAACCAGGAATGTGTTGCCTCACTTTCACAAAACCTCCATGTTGTGAGGTACTGAGGTTGTGCCGTACTGCGAGAACAAAATATTATTTGGTACATCTCGTATCTTAAATTGTGCCTGACAAATACACCTTTTCCACAACAACAAACCATGTTATGCAACCAATCTTGGAAAAAATATAACAATATTATTAATAATAATGATATTAGAGTATTTATAAAGAAAGTCAAAGGTTATTTTCTGCTTTTCAAACATCTAAATGGATCAGCTGCACCCTGTAAATAATTATTTTAAAATACGCTTCATCATTTGTGGTGCTTTGAGTTACTTACAGACCTAAATTTCACATAATTGCTTATTATTTGACAGTGTTTGTGTATAAAAAAAAGTTAAACACTCTCAACTTTTCATGTAATTGAACAGCAGGGTTTATATCAATTACAGTACTTTCAATCAATGTTCTCCATATGATAGAAACTAACTGTGACAAACATGGAAAGGGGATTAGGACAAAACTAGGTCAAATAAGCTGCTTTTCTACTCTTTAATTTTCTTTTCTTTTTTTTCTCCAGAAGTTACAAAATCTACTTTAGGAAGTGAAAACGTGTCGGTGTTTTAAATGAAATGGACATTCAACCCATAGAATGAAGGTTTTGAAAGCTATTTTACCTCCTTTTGGTTTTTGCTTTGGTCAGCAAAAGAGGCTTTTAATGAACATAATACCTAATCAAGATTTATTTCAGTGGTTGAGAGTAACATTTGTCTGTTATTTGGTGTTTGGCAGCTTTTGTGCTTTATGCTCATATGTCACCTTCTCCCTTTGTTCATTTGAGTATCCCATAATGCACCATGACACAATACAATGTTCTTGTGAAATTGTAAATAAACTTTTTTCCACATGGATTACATAACTGGATAGTACCACGCACGTCTCTGGTGATGACAGAGTGTCCCAAAAGTTTGTTTCAAGATAGAAGGGGTGGTCAGCTGGTCAGCAAAGAGGCAGTAAACACACTCAGGTAACACAATATGGAAGTTTAATCCAACATAAGACTGACGGTGTGTCGCATTCTGACAGGATGGAGCCATGTGAGCTCTGACATGCCACTGAGGATTTACTGGGATACACGATTCTTTCAAGACAATCAATCAAACAGGTGCAATTTATCACTGAGCTTCAGCCTCTGTTTTAGCTCCATATAAAAAAACAACCACCAGCTCCAGTTCAGCCTCTCTACATACATTATTTGTACAAACTGTTCCGGACAAAAGCTCCCTTTTAAATCCAGGCGAGCACACGCAGGCCATGTGTTTTATGGCAAGCTGTCGGCAGACTAAAGGCACAAGGTCACTTGTAAACACAGTTACAAAGATCCATTTGTGGCAGATGAAAGGATGATGATAAATGAGTTGTTATGGAAAGTTGGAAGGTGGCTGCACCATCAGGGAGGAGAAGAGATAAAACCCTGGAGGAGGATATGGAGCCATTATGCATCTTAAAAATATCAACCACTGTAACTGTAGTGCTATATCAAACATGTTATATTCTATTTGTGATGCACTGTGAAGTCTATTTCAAAACAGAAAGAAAAAGGTATTCAGCAGAGCTGTTAGTTTATTCATGGGATTAAAACAAGAGTCACATTTTTATTTTATTTTATTCAAATCGTAGCAGCATCTTCGCAGGTTATGTGGAGAAAAATAACTGATGCGTTAAGGACTAATTTTCTATTCTCTTTACTTTTTCGGATGAATTTTATTGATTCACATGGTGGACTAAATATAGACAAACAGATGTAACATAAAAAGGAAAAAAGAGGAAGCAATCAAAGGATTCACTGTCCTTATCTCATTCTCTTTCCACCAATTAGCATCCAGTATTGAATCCAGGAAACCTGAAACCATGACAACAGCAGGATAACCTACTACCCCATCATCACCAATCCACAGCTCCATCTGCTGTTGATAAGAAGAAAGTCCCAGATTCTCCATGTTCAGAGAAAATACCACGTGGTCCATATTTATTCAGGCATGTTCTAAATATGATGTAAATGACGATTAAACAAGAAGATAAACAGAAACAAAAGTAACTAGAGAAACTGCATGTTTTACGAAAATGCAGTGTGAATACGTATTGCTGAAGAACTTGCTGAAAAACAGCTGAAATTAGCTTAAAAAACTTGCTGAAATGTAGCTGAAATGAAAGAAGTCTAAAGTTGACAGAAGAAAGCAAAAAAAAAAACCAACAAAAAACACATTTGTTGAATTATGTTTAAATAAACAGAAATGAG